TGTTCTTCAATGGCTCCATTTCGTAGGTGCATTGTTAGGCATCTTGACAGGGTTGTGGTAGTCATTCTGATGTAGGAGGCGTTTGCCAGGAGCTCGCAGTTTCCTTTATTACACTTGTAGAAGGAAAAACATATTTATAATGTGATGTGATTAGGCCAAGGGTGTGAAAGGTAAATTATGTTTATAGCCTGATATTATGAGGTGAAGGGTGTAGTAAGGTAAAGTATGTTTAGAACCTCTTGTATTCAAGTTAATAGTGTAAAGGGTAAAATATATTTACGACCTGTTGTTTTCAAGCCAAGGGTGTGGGAGGTAAAATCTGTTCATAATCTGATCTGAAAGCATTGTGGGAGAGTTATTATTTTTTGAAAACTTAGATTTGTAAATCTAAATAAATTTATGTATTTTTCAATCAAATTATTTTACATGTAGGTATTGAAACATTTTTCCTTCTTATGTTGTCATTAATGTGATTTTTGTTTCTTCAACTCACTGTGACATAGAAATTTAGTTATAGAAAATATTGCATATAGAAATTATTCTAATCATACAAGGTAAATGGCACTTTGTATATATTTTTGTTAAGTGTGAAATGCAGTTAACATGTAAAAACTGTTAAAATCTCTGAGTGTAATTTATTATATAAAAGTTGTATAAAAGTTTTATTGCTTTACATATATCCTTTTTTCTTTAAAGGAAAGACATGTTTAGCCAAATGGAAGTTTTAGGTCAGGTATGTTTAACTTGCCATTTTTGAATAAGGTGTTTCTTTATTGAATTTCACGCAAAGCTACTTGAGGGCTGTCTGCACAGAATAAGGTTGTAGGATGATGATGTACTGTGTTTTTTTTACATACACACATAAATGTTGAATCCAGCATTAGTTTTACATACTAAAATAATATTTTATATTACTCATAATATATTTTTTGTTGTTAAATAAGTGAAATATTAAAAAGAAAAGGGTGATTTTTATGAAATTAGGAACAAAATTTCAAGTGATAACCCAGTGATAGTCTAGAAATTTAGCACATATATATACATATACAAGGGGATAAACTTGTGCTTCATGTATGATGTATGTACTAAATTTATTTAACTACTGAAACATTTAGCAAATTTTTTAAATGGATATAAGTAGGATTGAATTCTTGACCTCCTACATAAGAAGTGTGTGCAGTGCCACAGCCCAAAGAAAGGTATATGTTTTAAGTAGATAAATCCTTTAAATAACACTGTTGTTGTATTATGTAATTGGACATGAATGAAAACAAAAAACTACCAAGCAGAATATGGAGTTGTTGTATTCAGATTTAAATTAAAGAAGTATAGAAATATGGAATGGCTATAAATGAAATATATCTATGTACACAACATTTTTGTAGAAACACCTTGTCTTCTGGATAACTGACATCTTTGACTAAGATCTTGAGATTTTTTCATGAACAAACTCTTGATATTATGAAGAAGTATGAAAATTAACTGCCTTTGCTTGTCGCTACTTCACTGATTTTTCTTTTTCTTTCCATATTAGTATCAACTCTTTTTACTCTCCCATAAAGTAGTAACTAAGAGTTTTGTCTAATACCACCAATAACAGAAATGATGTAATATTTTATTCCCATAGTGGGTAAACTCATCCTTCGAATACAAAGTGTATGTAAACTTTTGGCCTAATTGTCAGTTTTTAGGAGCCTGTATTGAGATGGTTGTAAAATATTTTGGAATCAAGAAGTGTGAAAAGAACTGTTGTAATGTGTTTTTTAAATCAATTTCTTATGTGTATATGTGTCTAAATTGCATTTGTATATCATCTGAAACCTGTAATTATTTTCATTCATGCAGTGTATTAGCTTTATGAATCAAGTTGTAAGAGTGACTATTAAGAGTAATTGCCATAGATTATATAGTGGGTAAACTCATGCTTCATGTACAAAGCGTATTTAAACTTTTGCACTCGTATAAACATAAAAGTATCAGTGTACAGTTAGCCAATAGGAATATTGGGTTTACTTGTGAGTTAGGATGCATACACACATTGTTTTACGTAGTTGGATCTTTTTAAATTAAATTTTTTTTGGATAGCAGAATATGCATATAGAATAGTAAAGCAGTTATGAGGTACTTGTACTTTAATATTTAAATTTGACACAATAGTGAAATGTACTTCTGAATTAATCTATATATTGAAACATTTGATAATGTAACTTATTCTAGTTTAACCTGGGATTTATTATTGCCAAACTTGGAGCAGACCTTTTCATCATTGACCAACATGCTACAGATGAAAAATATAATTTTGAAATGTTACAGAAAAACACTATTTTAGAAACCCAAAAATTGCTTCAGTAAGTAAAACTCATCCAATTTCATTATTTACTTTAATATGTTTAGTATGTATACAAAATGTGAGCCTTATGTACTTTGCCTGTGTTTATAGTTTGATTACTCTTGACACAGTTGAGTAATAACTAAAATTGTATAACTCAATGATATACAGTATATAATATTTTAAATATATTTTATGTTTTTTGTTTTAATTAGTTCTAGATAATTATTAAATTAGGGGGGAAATGAAAATGTCTATCATTGGTTCTTATAGATGTTTGTCTTAAGAAGTTTAAATACAGCAGTATTTTTCAGTTATGGATCCAAGCCAGAGAGAGGGTTTTGATACGATTTTATAAAGAAAGATTATTCGATGTTTGAATATTTCATTGTTTACAGTTCCAGTGTTTTTCTACCTATTGTTCACTTCTATATTACCATTCAATTTCTGTGGTTTGGGCCATACTGTTGTTATATGATGAAGCAATATCACATATGAGTAAAGGTGTATTATAAGAAAGATTTCAGTCAATGCTGTTACTATTTTTTTATTCCTATTTATTGTTGAGTATAAATATTAACAAAATTTATTCAGATGTTAACTGCTTTCACTTTTTTTAGTCCTCAAACACTTGAACTGACAGCCTCTAGTGAAGCTACACTTTTGGAGAATGTTGAAATCTTTCATAAAAATGGCTTTGAATTTTGCATCAATGAAGATGCTACAGTGGGCCAAAGAGTTAAACTTATTTCTGTTCCTGTCAGTCGAAACTGGACTTTTGGGAAATCTGGTAAACAGATTGTTTTATTGTAGATAAAAACTTGATCGCAAAATGCAGCATTCTCAGCAGATACATCTGTATGATGCCAGTTTATTATAATGCAAAATATGTTTATTAGGCATTATTTTGTTCAATACCTTTGATCAAAAATGTCAGTATAATTAAATAATATTTAATGTACTATGTATGCTCTTCTGGTATTTAATATTTTAAAAAATACCAGATATTTGTGGTTTGATCAGAGAAATGTATCTTTACATTTTTACAATTTGAAAATATACATCTAAATTATATATTTTTTCAAATTTTTTTATGGATAAATAATTTTAAAATACTTTATATATCTTCATATTTGACTTATTTCTTGGGATTAGACTATTTCAGTATCTATAAGCTAAGCTAAGAAAAACGTTTATTATAGTTTTTTTAAGCAGTTACTATGTGTAATGTTTTCTATATTAATGTATTTTCTCTTTCTATACTGTATTGACGGAATTAAAAATACCTAACAGTGAGAAAATGAGGAAATTTTAATCCACAATTTCTTGAGTGATTGTAACTCTTTGGCCTTTGTTATTTTTAAATTTAGATTAATTTTTAGGATTACAAACTTTGATTATTCAGTTGTTTATATGAAATTAAAACTGTTACAGACATCTGAATTAGGTTTAATTATTTCCACACGACAGTGACATGATATACAGAACTTTTTATTATTATTTCTTATTACAGATATTGATGAGTTGCTCTTCATGCTCAGTGACAGCCCTGTAAGTTGTCCCTTTCTTGAGTTGATATTGAAACTTAGTTCATTCCAGTGATTTTTCAGCTGTTTGAATTTGCAAAAATATCTCAGTACATATACAGTCAGGGTTGTATAAATGTTAACTGCAGTGTAATTGTTCTTGTTAAAGGTTATTATCATTATTTTTAAGATGGAAAAATTGGATTATTTTAAAATAATTATGATCACTTGAAGATTAATGTCATTTTCACTTGTTATTGGCTTCACATAGTGAAAGTTGAAATTCCTGCCAGGTGCGAGTTTTTATCTGATTACTTATCTATTTAAACTTTATCTTGAGGTGGGCCACCCGAGTTCCTATACCAGATTTCAATGAACTTGGTTAAGCCAGTTCCTCACAACAACTTAAAATGCTAAGACACCGTGCAGACAACTCTAATTCATATACAGGGTGGGGCAAAAGTGACGATACAGCTGTTTATTTTCAAACGTGTTTAATTTCTAACATCTTACTCTGAAACAAATAATAATTGAATTGGCTTCAGTTGTCTTCACGATATTTTCTTTAGTAGCAACTGTATAGTAACTTTTGCCTCACCCTGTATATAGATGAATGGATAGACATTGCTCCTACTATTTTAATGGCCACTTCAATGTTAGTATAACTTGTTTAAGGATTTATTTAATATACTGCTATTCAGATATATTATAACATCATATAAGATGCGAGATTACCAACTTCAATAATTTCTGCTAGGGATCATTAAACACAGTAACACTTAGTATGTAGGGATGGACTGAGAAAAAATGGCTGCTGCATTCAATTTGTTACTCTATGATGCGTACAAGTAACTGCTAAAGTTATAGCCTTATTTGAGAACCTAATTGCCATTACTTAATGTTTCACAGACTGTGAGTCGGCCAGTATCATTGAATAATATTGCTAAAGTGGAGAACTGGGAACGAATTAAAGAACCAAAGTGTTCATCTTTCTTTTCCCATGCTAGCCAAAAAGGTGTGAAGTTTTCGCAATGGCTTTAACAGACTTACGTTTGTAATTATTTAACTACGTTCTACATGTGCTTGGTATATAATCTTAATTTGTCAATCTATTATATTCAAATTAAAATGTTAAAGTTATCATCATTTCAGTAAATTCAAGCTAATTTCAGGGAGTTTTGTGTCGTCCCTCGAGGGTACGCCAGATGTTTGCTTCACGAGCTTGTCGAAAATCAGTCATGATTGGAACACCATTAACTATTTCAGATATGAAAAAAGTAAGTCTATTTTGGTTTTGAGTCGAATTATAAAAACAAACATATGAAAACAAATACTATAATAATTTTTACAGAAGATTCTCTAAGAAAAAGAATCTGGAATTAGTTTTAAACTTTCGTATGAACTAATTAATGTTTTAGAGGTAGCATGTGCTGTTAAAACATCAACAACTTATTGTAACTTGTAAAGTATTTTGACTTCATGAAAACTTAGTATGAAACTTGTAGCACATTTATTACTGTACTTTAATTGTTGTCTGATAGTGCATATATGTATCCAACACTGTTGCACACTTTGAAAGCAAAATATATATTTTGTTTTTCTAGCTTTTTGTTACTTTTAAATGTAAAATGGGGCTATTTTATGGCATAAGTTTGTATTCTCTAATGATCAGTCATTAGTTAAAGAAAATGAATGTCCAATCACTTTTACATGTCTACTGTGGAATACAGAGCAGCACATGGAATAGCAGTTTTACTTGTAGACAATGCTGTTTTGGGATTACTTTTTTGTCCATATGTATGCCTCATATAGAAGAGTTGTTAAAAAGTATTGATTAATTTTCATCTTTAGACTTCCATATTATATCAGCTTTCTAAGAGCCAAGTTAGTTTTACCCAGATGTGTTGATTTCTTTGTGAAATAACTCTTTAAATAACAAAATTCTTTGAGTTGTTCTTACTATACTCCACTAACACAGATTTTACTACCTAAATCTAGTCTGCACATGCATGATTATCATTTTCTGTTTGTTTATTATTAAGCCAACTTTTCCTGCTTCAGCATCAGTTCTTCTTGCTATTTCTTCTGTATTATTCCATGTTGTACTCTGTAGTGCGATGTCATTGGTAAAATCTTGATTGTGAATATAATTTCTATCTAATTATGCTATGTGGCTCTTATATTCCAGTCTATACTAAACAAAAGATTGAGGTTAGAGAATCACATTTTTGTTTTATAATCTCTGTTCCGGTTTGTGACCATTCACCTACATCAGAACCAGATTTTACGTGACGGTACGCCATTGCTGTGTGATATCTTACAAAGGAAGTTTAGTTTGTATGGAACTGTTAGAAACCTTTTTGAAGTTTATATGTAATTTAGCAGTAAGGGTTTTGCCCAACTGCACTAACATGGTCTACCTTCTCTGAAAACAACCTATCCTTCTCTCGTAGGCTGATCTACTGTTTTCTTCATCCTGTTTATAAGACAACTTTACTATCAGCACTCACTTTCTAGTTGTTCCATCAGAGGAATTAGATTACTGTCTTCTGAATCCATTGGGATTTGTATTCATCGAGACCTTTTTGGATATGCATATCTACATTACTTGTTCCTCTGGCCTTGATCATTTTCATGTGAATGTTGTTACTACTTGCTGCTTTACCATTTTTAGTCCCATAATAGCAAACTAATATTTAAGTAAAAATATGAAACTTTTTCAACAATACTAAAGTATAAAATAGTTAAAGAAATTTTTGTGGCATTGTTACAGATTTCAGTTTTTAACATCTGTTAAATCATTCAGAAAAATTTCCCATGGAATATAGTTTATATGATTAAAATTATAAAAACACATTTAATTTGTTAGTATAAAAAGTGTAAATCATACTCATGATTTATTTAGATTTCAGTTTTCAAATAATTTGATTGTGTCTTTTTATCTTGTTTCAGCTTGTTTCTCACATGAAAGACATTGAGCAGCCTTGGGTAAGTTGTAGCAGTTTTTGTAAATGAAAAGTACATTAAGTACCAATGTTATCTATCCAATAAACTGTATATAGATATCAGTTTATGCGTACTTGTACAAAAAAAAACCGTAAAAGATGTAATAGAGACACAAACCATGACTTAAACCAATTTTGTAAGGATAGTATTGTTGTTATTTTATTATGAATTATGGCTCCTAAAATTACAATATAGGGATGTAAGGTTTGTGCCAGTTATTAAACATAGAAAAAATCTTTAATCAACCAAAATTGTTCTTTTTTAAGGAACACATATTAGATCTCTGGTCCCAGTCAATATTCAGGAACCTTAAGTAGGCAGGTGATTGGCACAATGAATCTCTTTCAAATTAGAAAACAAATGTTTAAGTCTAGTCTTGTATACTTCAACTAGGAAAATGTGTTGCTGATCTTCAGCTGAGTTTTAGAAACACGGTTTGTCTAAAAACGTAAAAACTAATAGTATTTATTCAACAGCTTTGGTATAGCTCTTGCAACAATTTAGTTAATCAAATGTTGTTTTTATTTGGCAAGTAATGGGTGTATAGAGAGAAGAGTTATTTCCTTAAATTAGCTGCCATTAGGTGTTAATAACAAATATTAACAAGTTAGTAAAGTGTAGTATCTGCACATTAGTTAATTTATTTCAATAAAAGAAAGAAAAAATTAACAATGAAGTTTATTAAAGTTTGCATACTAATATATTAATCACTAAATATTTAGTGTACATAATAGTTGAATTTATTTTGAAAGGGTGCTGAAAAATGCTCAATTTTATAATGTGCTACTGCATACACTAAATACAAAAATAATTACTGATTGTTAAATCTAAATAGATATCTTTTTTCTAGATTATGTGACATGTGTATATACCATTACACAGAGATACTTTATAAATAGAAGTCTTCATTCTCAAGGAATAATTTGAGGAAATGTAATATCCATGTTATGTAGAAGTTCGTCAAATTTGTATTTTAAATAACAGCTGTCTCGTACACATATACATTAGCCAGTAAGTGTAACACATTAAAATGTATTGAGAATAAGTTTTGAAGATTCTGTTGTTAGTAAGGAATACATAATTCACTTCGGTGTTACTAAAGTTCAGTATTTATAAGTTTTATGGGCTAAGTATTATCTATTGTAAAGAAAATTAAAAATGTATAAAATGTTTTGTCTTGTTTGATAAATTCATTTTAATTAATACTACTAATAATGTGATCAAGATAAAATAATTGAATACTAAAGTGTATTAAACCATTAGTAAATATTATTTCTTCATCACTGTAGAATTGTCCTCATGGCCGACCTACCATGAGACACTTGTTCAACCTGAACATTCTGAAGAACATCTGAAGATTAAAGTATTGTTTTGGGAAAAAAAATGTATATAAAAATAAAAAGGATCTTTTAAATCACTTTTGCAAAATATTTTATAACTAATCTTTCTTGGTTATTTACAAGATTATATAGAACAGAATAATAATTCACCACTTAATATTCAGAGCATTAGACATTTTTTCTACTGCATGATACTGTGTATGTAATAACTTATGAGTCTTTTCTGTGTCTATTCCTCCTAACCATTCCTCATACAACTCGTGTATCTTAGTATTTTCCTCTGGTTTACTGTTCTTTAAAGATTTGTACAGCTTTTCAACCCGAGCAACTAGATCCTTCAGTGATTCTTCTCCTTCTGGCCGAATCTGAGCACCTCCATTGAGACATCCTGATAAAGGAAATGAATAAATTACAATAAACGTCATTTAATCTATAAAATTAATGTCCTTTCCTGCTAAGATATATGATATATTGAGTATATCCACTTCCAACAAACTACATCACTGAGTGCTATGATAAAACAAGATATTAGAATAGTAGGCAAAAGTGATTACATGGAAATATCTCTTAGAAGAAAGTAACAAAATAAGTTAAATGCTAATAATAAATCAATATATGTTATCAATATGAGGCAAATGCAGATTTACAGTTAATTAGTTGAGATGTTGCAAAGGAAATATCTGCTGAAGCTTTTTGTAAGACACTAATCATAGCAGAACCGTCTGGAAAATGGACTATAGGAAATAGTACAGCTTATAAAATGAGTCAGATCAACGTAGGCCAGACGGTTCTGCTATGATTAGTGTCTGGTGAAAAAGCTTCAGCAGATATTTCCTTTGCAACATCTCAACCAACAATTGGTCCAGTTATAAATGCTATTTCCAAGTTTTGAACAACTCGACTGTTAAGATCTACATATCTACATGTGCTGATGTTTCCGTTTATCAACGTTATATTTTAAGGTCTGTGCAAGAACTCAGCTAACAGATGTTTCCACATATAAAAGCTATCTTCAAGTTAATTAGTCTTGATGCTCAGTCCATAGAGTAGGATATTAGAACTTGAACAACAATTTAGCTGTGTTTTCCATAGAGCTGCTTTTTTTGATAAAAGTTTCTTGTAGTTTAAGTTGCACATTTTTAGAAAATAAATACTAGATAAGTTCTGAAATATGCCACAACTTTTGAATTAAAAACTACATTTCCAAGATGAGGATAAAAATAACTATAAAGCAAAATGTATTCACTATGTCAATGTACACCAAAAGTATTTATCTTGTTCAACAGTTTTTGATCTTTGCTTACATGATAATATTTCATTAGTTCCAGTGAATAAGTACCTAGAGAAGTAATCACAGTCACTTAGCATTGTAGTTCTAAATATACAATACTAAACTCTTCTTCTGTGAGCTTCAATTTTTGTTTATCAGCCAATAAGAAATTCCAGTCATTCTAGAAAATATTATAAAATCCAAAGAGCAATAAGCATTTTTATCAAACAATTTAGCTGCAAGTTCCTGTTACAAAAGGGGGGTGGTTCTTTAATCAAAATAGTAAAAACCTGATATTGTTATAAAATTTATTTTTCAGTAAAACTACTTCAAACTTGTGTTATGTTCCTGGTTTAGAGGAATAATAACACAGGTAAATTACCTCCAGATAACAAGAGGTTTAAAAATTTAGTTGAATGAAATGTTAATGTGAGAACAAACAAAATTAAAGTAAAATGGAATGAAAACTATTATTATTATTATATGACAATACAAAGTCAGTGTATAAGATAAACAGTTGTTCAGGTCTTGTCCCTTTCAAAGCATAAGCTATTCTTCTTGATAAGTCAAAACTGTTCTCATTCTCTATGCAGCTGCTTAAAATGCAGAATTCTCTCTTCTCCATGTGACAGTTATAAAACAATCCTCCATATATTAGGGTACAATGCAACTTTTACCTGAACCAATAAAAAACTTCCATGATCAGATAATGGTACAGAAAGTAACAACTTCGGCTTGATTTAGCATTTTTGCAGATATGAAATATATACTAAGGGTGAGTGAGACATGTATTATCTCAATTATTATTCTACTTATTTTTATATGTACGACCGTTATGCTTTCTGACCAAGAACCTGCTGCATAAGCATGCGTAGTTAGAATGTTTCCCCAAGAAAAACTGCACATGCGCATTATTCACTCCACGACAAACAGTCTGTCTGCGGCGGAGTGCTGCAAAGCTCAGTGATCAAGTTGCTACAACTGCTGTATGAAACAAGAAGTAACAACAAAAGGGGAATGTTAATATACTTTACTAAACATTTCGTACAACAGAATATTAAAAACTTATCAAAGTTTTTAAAAAAGGTTTGACGTTAGGTCATAGAATAACATTATAAGTTTATTTATCGATAGTATTAAGTACAGTAAAGTTTAGTCCTAACTAAACTAAAGTAAAAAAAGTACACAGGTTAGTGTTAATTTATCTCTTTATCGAACTTAGGCCTAACAAGTTTTATGAAGTACAGCCTATATACAAGTGGATTACAATTCATTTGTATTGTGCTAGAAATGTTATATTTAAAGAAGTAGTGTTAAAGACACTAATTTGTCCAGAACTGTTTTGTGGGTCTCTGCTAGTTTCATACTATATTTGTAAGTGTTACTATGTTGCAGACATAAAAATCTTAAAGAATTTTGCATGTCAAGTACTCAAAGCTAATTAAATCTTTACATACAACTGGGTGAAAGTGTGCACGACCTGACCTTTACAGTGTTAAATTCAATATTTAATTAACGATCTTTATTATTAATTAATGTTTGTACATTAGGCATGTAACTGTAGTTTTTATATTATCTAAGTTTTACTTTCTTCATTTTACTGCTTAACATGTCTTAGCTCTGATTTCTATAACTTCTAAAATGTGCTGCAGTTTTCAATCACTTTGAAACACAAACTATGTGTAATTACATAAACCTTCTACATTATTGATTTATTTGAAATATAAATAAATTTGTCAAACTCACAAGAGAAGCCCCCCCTCTGACTTTAGGGATTGTTTGCTAATGAGCACATTTTCCTCAATGTAAATCTTGCAATTCTGCAGTTTTTCCATTGTAACTCATCAGTTGAAGAGAATTGCTTGACTTGTGTTTATTAGAATTGATTCTCTGAACAGTAAAATAATTGTTTAAACCTATTTTTAGCTTATGAAAAAAGCTGGATAACTTTTAGTAGTTAGTTTTGGGACATTCTACCTAAGTGACTGATGTGTGTGTGTGTGTGTGTGTGTGTGTGTATATATACGTATATTTAGTGCTCTAAAATGCATATATGAAAGCTAAATGAGTTTTTTGACACTCAACAAGGCTTAGGGAAGAGTGTCCTGGATTTTCCTCTTGTGCAATCAACTCATGTTTGCAGCGAGTACTACAAATCCTTGTTTTATGTTGTTTTTTTTAACAAAAATATTTAAAATGTAAAAATGACAAATTTCTTAGTTTAGCCTAACAATACTTCAAACAGGAATCTCTAGAGCTTCACTAGTTTAAGCATGATCTGAAACATGACACTCAGATCAGTGATGTTTAAGTTAGTGCTCCTGCTGTGATTTATTGCTTTTGATGCAAGGATTAATACTCCAGCGGTAAAACAAATGTGAAAAAGTTAACAGTTGAAACCTTCTGATCAATACTTAAGTCAGAGCAGAGGAAAAAAACGTATAATTCATTTTATTTCATTTCACACTACATTTAGGAAAGAGAAAATAAAGGTTTTTACCAAAAATAATTTTGATAGTCATTGAGTAAGTTTTAAAGTTATGCTAATGAAATATGAAAACTTTAAGATGGAAATATTTTTCTTCTTAGCATGAAAATCATCTTTCACTCAGTAATGGTTTCAGAAGTTTACAGACAAATCTTTAGTAGAAATACTTTATTAAAAATGTTGCTGTTGTTTTTAAAGATATACATAAATTCAGAGTTAAAGTACATGTAATTTCACAGTTCCAAGGTGATCAAATTGATCAACTTTGTTCTTATAAGGTTAAAGGAAATGTTTATCAAGTAACATACAGAGATGATACTGTAAAATGACATCACACCTAAAACTTGTGTACAAAGAAGTAGAAAATTGATAAATTACTTCAGGAGAATTTCTAATTTACTTAATTTTCAAACTCTTACACTACCTGATGGACAAGCCATAATTTCCACAAAATGGTAAGAGCACTTGTTTCTTTTTATTTTTTGTACCAAGTTCTGAATATTTCTGAAACCGTTGGCAACTGCGAACTTCAGAACAATAGCTCCATCCTTCTCTAATGTTAATTCCTTGAAGTCTTGATTTCTAAAGATTAAAATAATTAAATAATACCAGTAAGTTTCAGAATCAACTTCATATAAATAAGCATAGACACATTTGTTTCTTATTAAAGAGTATTTTAGGACAATACTTGTAAAAACTTTCAATACAAACCTACTGTAAACAACAAGCTTATTTGTATCCTTTTATAGATGGTTTCTCGTGTCAGTTGTTTTCTAAGGAAATAACCAACGATTATACTTTGAAATTATGTTGTTATAAGTTTGGCCAAAAGTGTTGCTGTAATGTTGATCTCTACAGTAAAAATACTGGTAACTTTATGAATGGTGTAAAAAAATAACCAAATAAATATCAGACTATATAAGGAGAATTAGAAAGTCAGAGCTCTGTCAGGAGTCATAACAGGCAATTGATAAGTTATTCTTCTAAAAATAGCATTTATTTACATTTTTTAGGCTCACTAAACTAAAACATAGGAGTTCTTGTACATAAGTAATAGGTTTAGTGAAGCTGTGGTTAATGAGATAACCTGTTCCAATTGTAATATATGTTGAATTGTTGCACTCTAATCATTTTTATACCTCTAATCAATCATCAAATTCTTTGAGTCATCTATTAATAAAGAAAATCCAGCTTAAAGTCCAGTACATAACATTATGTCGAAACTTATCATAAACATCTTATATGCTTTTTAAGCAACAGTGCAAAAGGTTTCAGAAAAAAAAATAATAAGTGGCTAGCTAAACTACATACATATATAGTTGCATAGTGAGAAAATAATATATCTTTATGTTAAAGAACAAATGTGTTTGTGTGTATATATATATATATATATATATATCAACATGTATGTAAAGCAATACAAACAATATATAACTGAAAGAGGTACCAATGTGAATTATCAAAGACAAAGAAAGTAAAAAAAGTATAAAAGTGAGAACAGACAAATGTGGGGAAGTTCTTTACAAACTAACAATTCCATTGTGATAACCTATTTCTGCGTGGTTCTAGGAGCAAGCTAATTACATGATTTAACACAACATGTTATAAATAATGCACTTCTTTCAAAACTTTACTTAGAACTTCTACCATTATAAAGATTTTGTTTCATATTACAGAGATAGTTGTACACGTCTGGGTTTCAACATGGTTCAAACTTACAAAGCATTCAGCAAATGCTTATCACTATGCAAAAACTGTTGGCAGTTTCAATTTTGATACATTTTTTAACTTGTGTACTTTCATTGTGCAAACTGACAATATAGTTCTCGTGCCTCAAGAGAGGACTGTATCATTAACTTTTTTTTTCACCAATGTTAATGTAATTTCGTATTAAATAGTGTATACATAACTCCTTACTGAAAATTATCAATTTTTAGAATAACTTAACTTCAACTATAATACTAGATTAAATGTTTGCAGGTTATTATTGAATATTTAGTCATCTTTATTCTTAAAGAAAGATTGACCAACTGAAAGAAACATAGATTTAATTTCTTATTTGTAAAGGACACATTTCTAACATCTTTGGTATTTTCAGGACATTGATAATCTTCTTTGTCCTTTGTTGTTAGCCACTAGGTACTTGTTGTTGAATTGCTTTATACATGGAACATGCTGTTCAGATCTTGCATTTAGTAGATCTACAGGAATACTGATAATACATTGTACTCATCACATGCTGTTCATCAAATTTAAATTGCTTAATAATTTTTCTATTTTTGCAGAAAACCAATAATTTTACATTAACATGTTTAGAACACCTGCATTATACAATGCTGTAAACTGCTTTTCAGCCAGTTTTTAATACATTCAAAGTAATGGTTATTGATAAACACCACTTTACTGTATTGACATATTTAAATGAAACAACAAAGAGTAAAGCTACTGAATGGACAATGTAAAATACTTTACATTAGAAGTATTTGAAGTAAGATTGACATAGCAATGAAAGCTTACTTTTCATTATCTGATTACTAACCCTCACACACAGAACAATAAAATTAGGAGCTTGTAATGTGAAGCTCTAGCTCACATTTAACATTCATTTTTATATTAACCTAACTGATATTGATATCCATTTCACTATTGCCCCCAACATAGAGAATACGGTACTTATTAGGCAATGTTTCATTGTAGTAGGTGTATCTGATAAATACAATCAGTACATCAGTAAAAATGTACATTTTGGTACTACACTACCAAACGTCATATACAAAAATATCTAAAATGAGGAACTTGTGTTGATGCTTCAGCTCAAAATGTTTCAGATTTTCATTCCTAAACTTACCTAAGAGTTTTAAATGTCAGATCTGTAGAGTATTCTCCAAATAGCTCGGCAGCTGCGTAAGTAAAGACATGTTCACAATACCCACCAGAACCAGAGCCAAAGTGATTGGTTGGATTACCATCATCTAAACTGGAATAACTGTAAAAAGGTTCTTGAAGTAATTTACAAAAACATACATATCAAAAGGTGACTGTGAGGTTTCCATGAAACATAAGTAACATCCAATAAAATGTATTTTTACATTAATCTTGATGATAGGCAAGAATTATTTCTGTTTTATTACATAAACCTAAAACAATACACAAGAAACTTGCATGAAGAATGAAACCAACTAAATATGAAGGCAATATGACTTACAGCGTATCTAGTTCAACAGGTTCAATGTCTGCTAGAGAAATGCCAGAAGCTTCTAACATTGACTCTACTTCAACTGTAAACAAAGGGAAAATATTACACTTGTCAGTTAAACAGAGCATTGATAAGTAAGATTAAATATTTTTAACAAAAAATAAAATTTAAAATGGAAAGAAATCCATTTTGGGGATGAAAAAAAATTCAAATGGAGAACAAAAGTAAAGGTAAAAATATAATCATATGAAATAGAAATACAAGAACAACATTACACGGTTCTGAAATTCTAATTTGTTTATGCATCTAAGTAGTAAGTTTGTTAATAAAATATTACATAACTAGCTGGAATACTTGTCCCCTGGATGGTATTTGTGTAAGTTCATGATTAATGAAAGGTTATCTTTGGATATGAAGATCTGCTTCCTTTATATACAATTGTAAAAAATGCCCATAAAAACTGCAAAACAAAAAATGTGAAAATGCAAATTTGCATGCATCTCCACATGAACTCAACAAACCTTCAAGTAAAATTTAGTGAAGATCCATCAACAGGGGGCAAAGTAGTAGTAAAAATGCCCATGCAAAACTGAAAATCTGTATATATCTTCTCATAGACCCAATGAACCTCCATACCAGAGTTGGTGAAGATCCATCCACAGGAGGTGAGGTAGTGGTAAAAAATGCAAAACTGAAAATTTGTAATTATATCCCCATGGACCCAATGAACCTCCATACCAAATTTTGTTAAGATCCATCAACAGGGGGTGAAGTAGTGGTAAAACATGTCCATGTAAAATTGAAAATCTGTATGTACCTCTACACAGACCTAATGAATGTATATCAATTTTGGTGAAGATCCAATCACACCTGTGAAATAGTTACATGGACAGACAATACTATTATATTTATAAAGATTTTGACAGAAGCCTGTTTTTGTTCTAATAAATAACTTATTTAAGAGCTCATAGTTGTTATTTTTTATAAATTTAGAAAGTTAAAAGAATAAAAAGTGGAAGATACTGCATTGAAAAAATACACTACCAACAGAGCACTCTTTTAATGAAAGTAACAGAAAATGCAAGACAAAAATGTATTTAAAGCCAAAACTCTTTAGATCTGTCAAAATCAAGACATACTACTTACTTGAAGTAATAACACAATCTACATCTCTTGTGGAGTACAGATCATTGTAAAAATCTTGTCGTGAAGCTTCCAGTTTCTTATCGTAGCAGGGCATGATGGTAACATGGTAGACCTAATACATAAACTATGATGTAAAACAACTTCTGAAAAAACTGAACTTCCAAGGCTTGTAAATATTAAAATGTCATGCAGCTTCTGAAAATGAATTAAGAAAGTGGTTGTGTATGGCTGAAAATTTTTAATATTATAATTATCTATTATTACTGTCAAATTCATTTCTATTTATTACTTCTTTAAGGTAATCACTTACTAGAGTGTCTCTTGCAAGTCCTGCTCTTGTTAGATTACATTTTAATAGAAGCACCAAGCAAGAAGTTAGAGTAAAAAAATACATTGCACTAGACCATCAAGTTTTAACTACTTTATTTACTATTACAGTAGTCTGCCATAATATTTGTCAATTATTAGCTAGTAAATTATTTTAGTTAAAAGAAATCCTCAACAGTGTAGATACTTTGAGGTAATTGGTATCTGAAAAATATGACATTTATTAAATGGACTTCAAAACACAAACAAGTTTTTACTTTACCTCTTCAATCTCCTAAATCACAGGATAATAATACCTTTTGTCTATTGGAGATTAATTCTCACTGAAGAACACTATTTCATTAATGCTACATGGCTGCTGTTACTGAACATGTTGTGTGGTAATTCTCTATCTTAACTAAAATTTATACTGTGTTTTCTTACAATTTGAACTGACCAGTTATTATTTCTGAAGTTGATGGATAGATTCACAGTATTAACATGTCAGCTGGTAGTCATAATAGGTAGTAGCGATTAATGTCATCTTAACTGTGAGTGTAAACATGTCCATATAAAAACAGTTATAGGTTATACATTAACACATTACGATAATGATATGTGGCTATATACAAAGTGTTAACACATTACTATCATGTTACTGTGACAGTATACAAAGTATTACCATCATGGTATTGTTACAGTATACAAAGTGTTAACACATTACCATCATGGTATTGTTATTGTATACAAAGTGTTAACACATTACCATCATGCTACTGTTACTGTATACAAAGTGTTAACACATTACCATCATGCTACTGTTACTGTATACAAAGTGTTAACACATTACCATCATGCTACTGTTACTGTATACAAAGTGTTAACACATTACTGTCATGTTACTGTGACAGTATACAATGTATTACCATCATGCTACTGTTACTGTATACAAAGTGTTAACACATTACCATCATGCTACTGTTACTGTATACAAAGTGTTAACACATTACCATCATGCTACTGTTACTGTATACAAAGTGTTAACACATTACCATCATGCTACTGTTACTGTATACAAAGTGTTAACACGTTACCATCATGCTACTGTTACTGTATACAAAATGTTAACAAATTACCATCATGCTACTGTTACTGTATACAAAGTGTTAACAAATTACCATTATGCTGCTGTTACTGTATACAAAGTGTTAACAAATTACCATCATGCTGCTGTTACTGTATACAAAGTGTTAACAAATTACCATCATGCTGCTGTTACTGTATACAAATTAGTACCACATTACCATTACAATACTGTTACTTGTAACTAAGCTCCACAACAGTACTGTAAAGATGTGTCTAAATCAATGTTAAACATAGTAACTGGTTGACAAATACAGAAACACTGCATTAATTTATACTTTGTTACACATTAACAACAACAAATAACTGTTACCTAATGGTATGAGAGTGCAGTAAGTCTATACTTACACTGATACTAATAACTTAGTTTCACACATTCCAGTATTTAAAGCTCCCCACTCCAGTTTGATTGAAAAATATTTTGCATAGTGATATCCATGTTCAGTGGCTGATTAAGGAACTATAGTAATAAACTTAGGTAATATAATTAAGAGTGAAACTTGACAAATTTGTATCACATGACACCTTACGCAGCACTAGCCCATGTTTAATATCTAGTACACTTTAGCAATGATAATTGTCTTGCAGCTAAATAGCCATAATAGTAAAATTTATTTTTACATCTACAATAACTGTACCTTACTATACCACTATATGAAATGTTACACTTAAAGTAGCCACTGAAAGCTTATACGCTATGCCCATATTAACAATTTATAATTTCATCATAAAACTGATGCTGACACTTGGGTACACACCTGGTTTGATAATTTTCCCAGCAATGGACCAAGATGATATTTCACAAGAGAGCCCATTACTTGCTGTGGGGACTTAACAGTGCTTATGTAGGGTAGAATATAATCCCCATGTGTCTTTTCTGCATAACAAATCCAGCCTAAAACATACAAATAAACTAATATTTTTCTTTCTTAATACTGAACTACATGTATAAATAGCTTGGACAATGTTTGGAAATTAAGATGAATGAGCAAATGTTAATTATAAAATGGTAATTGAAACCACGGTCAGATTTATTCTTTTGTTGCATTTTAGTTCAGATGTATATCCATACACTGAAAATAATAAAGATCACTCATACAAAGTCACAAGAAAATCTTTGACAAATACAACAAGCAACTTTGTTATTAAACGAAAAGGTACACATAAAACATGTTTTAAAAATATAATTTCATAATAAACTTATCCGATGTTGATAAATTTTTAATTAGTGCATGCACTTATTCTGCAATAGTGCTAATCACAAACATTAAAATACTATAAGCATACTAATGATTACACATTGACTAAGGCAAACTAGCCAAAATATTTTGCAAAGAAAGCTTCTTTCCTTGCAGAGTAAAAAATATATTTTTAAATACATAAAGCAGGGAATATACATATGTAAACAGTATGATGTATATAACCATATAAAACTTTCCACAACACTAACCATGATTCAGGGAACAAACAAACTTTTAATAGAACTAATTAAAAACAAAGACATTTATATTAAGCAGGACAGAAAAAATGTGAATATTATTTTAAATTATGTTGTTAAACCTTTCAAATCACTCCAATTACCCCAGCAGTCATAGGAAATTAAAAGTTTAGATTAGCTAACATATTTTCTGTCCTATCTTTATGGAAACAAGTCAAAAGGACATCACCACAATTTAAAATGTGAACTATTCTACTTCACAATGACTTGGGTAATGAACATCAATTTACTATATTTGCACACAATAAACTAAGACAAGTAAATGAGACATCATACTATGACAATGATAATAGATGTTTCATACTTCAGGTTTCTCTAGAAACATCTAGTTATATCTGACAAAAATCACAGAAACATTCATGAACATCATAGAAGAGATTTTAATGAGACACAGAAATGCCTACAGTGGTCATCTAAAACAACCTAGAAACTATTAACATAAATATTTTGCTGAATAATTTTAATTATCCTCACTTGGATATAATGGAGGTTTTCATGAGATATTAAAAAGAAGTCAACTTAACACCTCAACTGATAATTCTTGAGTGAATGTTGTTCTACAAGACGTGAGCAGAAAATACTTGGATAAAAGATAGTACAGGATAAATTAAGATGTCTATGTGAAAAGCAAATGAAGTTTTTATTCAGTTTGTTTGTAATTAAGCACAAAGCTACACAATGGACTATCTGAGACGTGCCCACCACAGGTATCGAAATCCAGTTTTTAAAGTTGCAAGTCCACAAACATACCACTGAGGGGCAGTTTTTATTCAGACATGTTAATTTATCCTTTATTACCTTTTATTTGAGTTTACTCAACTGATAAGCTTAGAGTTAAATGCACCAGAAATTTTTCATGAGAATAAACAGTTCAACCTTTCCATCATAAGATGACATATTTGGGCATGTTTACTGCAAGCATTTAATTTAGTCACCTGGTGGATTAATTTTAGGTTTAGTAACAAACTCTATTATTGTACTAATGCATAAAAGTTGAGAGCTTTAGTATATATGTAATATTAGTAACACACCAAAAATATTTCCTATGACTACTGGAATCAAAATATCTTAAATATTTTTAAATCAAAATTCATAAGTATTTGTATTGTCCTGACACTTACTAGAAAATTCTGAGATACAAAAACAGAAAATTCTAAATATATTTAATTACAATGTATATGAAATGCCACTGTAATGACTGTGTATTTAATTCAAAACGTTTTTTCAGAAAAACAGTTTTTATACACAACTAACACTTCTGTAGGCTTTTCCTTTATAATCTCAGGGTTTTTAACTTTAAAATAGTAGTATAAAATATATTTTAAATAGTGTAAAACAATGTATTAAAATAAATAATTGTAGACAAATAACTAATTATATTTATATTATCCTGTTTTTGTTCAAAACTATTTTTTTCCCTTTTATATTAGCATATGTGTGCACTCTAATTCAACATTACAATATTCAAAACAATTACATACTCCTCAGTTTAACAAACAATTATTTAATACCTGGACATGCTGAAGTTAGAAGAGGGATTGATCCAGGTTGAATATCTTTAGCTCTATACCTACGAACAAATTCCCGTTGACTCTCAATTAAACTGAAGTTACGTGAGAATGTGGTATCAAACACGTAATGGACTCCTGTAAATAAGATAGTAATACAAAATGTATTAAATAAACAGAAATATGTTTATTACATTTCAAAATTCATTATGTAGTAAGACTATGACTCCAAACTTTTTTTTGCATCAGTTAAATCAAAGATATTTTTCTTATAAACAGAAATACAGTTCCTTTAAATTCTGAATTATGTTTCAAACTATGAAATGCACATATATATATATAATGAATGAAACATTAGTATTATATAGAGACACCAACTCAAATGATGTAAAATAGAAGTACTAGCCTAACAAAATTGGAATCTGAGCAGAAAAAAAAAGAATGATTCAATTTCTGCAGTCACTTTCCACTATGAGTAACACCAAAATACACAGATTAAAGTTTACAAAATGAATGGTTTTCACTTCTTTTGGATAACGTAATTCACAACTAGTCAGAATCAGTTGCAAATTTCTGCAACACCCTAGCTTATATTGGAAGTTCCATTTGTTGTGGTAGTTTGTTTTTTGCTATTTTTACCTTTAGTTTTACTTTGTAGGTATAATTTAGCTATCAAACTTACCTAACATTTGTTTTTTGTGGGTTTTTTTTCTATGTTTTCCTGATTTTTGAGGTATTTTGGTGTTACAGTTCTTTCCTAATATTCCACCATAAAGCAAGCTCTCCTTTTAATTCCTGAAAGCAATGCACCACAAATATACAGTGCCAGTAACATAATATTTGTGACTGATTCACAGATAGATGGCAGAAATTAAAGTGACTACATGGTAGAACCATCACTTGGATGTGTCAGTGGTAAAGCTAAATGAGAGAGCTGATAAATTTGCAAAAGAAACCCTTACATTATATCCAGCACAACTGTATTGACAGGATATTAACCTCCTTTTGTAAGGCAAAAATATCCATCACAGAAGGTGTTCGATGAAAATCAGAAGAAATGAGACTATTGGAAAACAAAATACCATATGGTGCAGCTACGAAAAGCAAAAGATGGGGAATCAACAGGACAGTTTACAGAAAGTAAGCCACTGGAAGCATCAATAAAGGAACTCTCTAAAAGAAATTATAATGTCATTCTATAGGTCATTGGTTTGGCCACATTTGGAGTACTGTGTTCAGTCTTGGGCTCCTTACCTAAGAAAGGACACTGAATTGTTGATAAGGATGGAAAGGTTAAAATCTCTGAATATAACTTGAAAAAAGAAGAGTTCAGAGGAGGGCTACAATGATGATATATGGAATGGAAAGGTTGTCATACAAAGATATGTTAAAATCTGTCAACTTATTTTCTCTGGAAAAGATTTATTGTGGATCTGATTGAAATGTTTCAGATTGTTAAGAGAATTCACACTGTTGATGCCTCATCGTTTTTTAACTTAAAGATGAGAATGGTAAGACTAGGGGACACCAGTATAAATTTTGGCAAGGTAGGAATCATCTTCAGCTAAGACTATTTTTCTAACAGTGTAGTTGCCCTTTGAAACAAGTTGTTTCAGATGAAGTAGATGCAGTTAATTTAAATGAGTTTATGGAAAAGCTTCATAAATATTTGAATAATAAGGGCTGACTTTGAGTTTTTAGTGTTTAGTTTGATTTAGTGGACGTAGTATAGAATAATTTAATTTGAGTTTATAAGTGACACAGCACTTCATTATATCCTATCATCAAGAAGAGGAAGACAATTAAGCAAAAAAAGAAACCCAATGAAGTATGAGAAAATATGGGTACAAAGAATTACCATATCTATCTCAAATTCAACCTATCATTATGGAAAACAAGACACAGCGATTCTTATGCCACTTCAATACTTCTAATTGTATGTGAAGAAATATAGTGCTGACATCTATTGGAATAATTACAATTAATTAGTAGAGAAAAAGTACTGTCTATGATCTCATTATCACTACAAGATAACACAAGTATGACACAATGTGCTGGTTAAGTTAAACAGTGTCTCGAGAAGAATCATAAGAAGAAGTATATATACGCTAACTTATCCACATAACAAATACACAGATGTTTCCTCATTAATCATTCTATTTCAAAATGGCACAGTTTTCTAGATAACTGATGATCCTGCAACTTCACGTGAAAGGTAGTGCCTGCATTTATACCAGAAGACCTTTTTAGTAACTTTTATTTGTACTAGTTAGATGAATCAGTTAGTGCTTCTGATCAATTAGCTAATTACTACAAGAATATTATTCCTCCATAACATAAAGATATGTTACTGATAAAGTAGCTAATTATTGTAGGTATGTTATTCCTCCATAACATAAAGACATGTTACTGATAAAGTAGCTAATTATTGTAGGAATATTATTCCTCCATAACATAAGCACATGTTATTGATAAAGTAACTAATTATTGTACGAATGTTATTCGTCAAAAGCAGAAATTCATTGTTCTGTTTAATAGTGGAGGCACAACTGTCTTAATATCAATTATTAAAATAAGACTATTCAGCAAATTATGAAGTTTAAAAAGATTCTATTACGTTTAAAAATCTAAACAAAACACGTACATAAACAGTATTAAAATACAATAAAATTAATAACGTTTTGTTATTAATTCTTACCAAAGAATCTGATTTGTAAACAACTAAAATGAAATGATAATAATTCACTTGTTTAATCTGATTCACACCTTAACAGTTGTTGTTCATAAAATTTGATGATATATTTATAGTGCCAGGACTTCTACTATGTCTGTTATATCTCAACTGGCTGATGAGCCCTGGTATTGGGCAAAAAGCATTTTTGGCACAGGATGTAACAGTTGTAAAGTGGTTGACATAACAACATTTGCCTTCACTCATGGGTTCTTAGAAATATATGTATACAAGTAAATACAGATATCACCTAATGGCATAAGGCAATTTCAGAAAATTCTAGGCTTGTGAATGTTTACCACAACCAACAAGGTAACTTTGCCATTGCCCACCATAAACTCACAACAATGAATCAAAAGTTGTAATGAAAAAAAAACACTACACTATTACATGAACTAGAATGCTTTTTGACTCTAATCAACAACAAAAAGAAAAGAGCATGCATATCTCTTGGAAACAAAATGCTAATAACAATTCATAAAAAGCACCCACCTATACTCTTGAAAAACCCTGTTAATTTCTTTGCTGCTTCTGGAGTAGTAAGTTTGTATTTAGCAGCTAAAGAAGCTCTGGCTTGAGGTGATATGGATACAACTACAATTTTTTGTTTTTCTTCTTCATTCATCTGAATGCAGAAAAAAAAACTAGTAAAAAAGAAGTACATGATAAAAATGTTCTTTTTCCCAAACAAATTCTATATTTGTGACAATTAACTGTTAAATTCAAAGTGATTTATATGCTGAGACTTACAAAGTTAAACAAGCTATCATTTCAGTTTAAATTATGCATTCACTAATTAGAAATACATGGACATTTAACATTTAAAACTAATGTTCATAAGAGTATCTACAATGTACATATACACACACACACACACACACACAGATTAAAATTGGGGTTAAGCAGATATCTTCTGGACAGGGGATGCTTAGGAAGGGAATACCATAGTACATTGAACAACAAAGTCCAATAATGAAAATAAAAATCTAGCTTTTAAAGTTCTCTCTCTCTAATTCACTGTAAGCTTAAAGAATGAGCAAGTGACAGAAGGCCAAACAGCCTTTTGAAAGCATCTCTTCACCCATTAAAACAAAGAATCTAAACTTATTACAGTAAATATATGTCCCTTAACATTCAAATAACAATCAAATTGTTTTCTATTAATGTTTTGCAACATCACAATATATACACTTCACCAAATAAAATATTTCTCAAGTTTATGACTGACAGAGAACCTAGGAATAACGCGTGTCAAGTGTCCTAACCACCAGGCCATGCCAGGACTTTTCTCTTTACATTCAGTGATAATGAATGGACTTATGTTGGTTCTTTCTTTGATGATATAACATCATTTCTTTAAATGCTCTTTAATGTATCTCAGAATTCTACATTCTACAACTGACAAATCCTTGGCCATTCATTTTTTTTAGCATCAACAATAAATCAGTGTTTGTATGGTAGTGTTGCGTCAGCAAGTCACATGACTATTGTGACGCCACGTTTCTAGAACTATCCTGTACCTTGGCGAATGCTCTAGTATTTACTAGATATAGGGTAGTCTGGTATATAAAAGAGGGTGACAACGTGACGGGATAAGGTAATGTGTGTGTAGATAGTGAGTAATTGAACTGCAGTCAGAAGTGTTGTAGACGTTCGTTGATATAGCGTTTGTTTTAGCGCAATTGTTGAAAATAAGTGTATCGTAAAGTTGTATTCGGAAAGAATAAACCAGTTTTATTAAGTAAGGACTTGTGTCGCTAAAGTTTCGTCGGAATGAAGTTACGGAAAGTTAATTAACAAACGGAGACGTAACAAATTGGTGTCAGAA